TCCAGTTATCACTACCAACACTAGATTCGCAATTCCCAACCTTCTCGGGAGCTCGTACGGCCAATGTAGTTCCGGTTCTTGAGGGCAGGAAGGCACTTGCGTGTCACTGTGCAAATTGGAGTCTGTATTGATATTTAAGCCTATGCCTGCCTGGATTTCTACCTTCTATGTCTTTCATCTGCTAAATCCCTTACCAGGCTCGGCTGCATGTCCCTTCTTCCCTTGACCCATCATCCCAGCTGTATTATCTTCAGATCCACCGGATCCATGACGTAATCATCATGGTCCCCTATTATGGGTACACTCATCCGGATCCAGGTCGCTAGGATCCACTTCACTGTAAGTTTGCACTCGTCGTCGATCTGAGCTCTCCCATCATCCAACATCATCTCGCAACCGTCTGTGATCTCCATTGTCCCACGAAAGTTCGAGATCCACTGTATCCATCATCCCTATACCCTGGATCCAGGTCCCTCCAGGCGGGATCCTCCCTCCTTGGATCCGAACTCGGAAGTATGGGATCCGGGGTACCTCGCGGTGGATCTTGACTCTTCATTAGCCGTGGCTACTAGATCCACCTTCAGAGGGCACCTACCATCCTTCCTTCATAGGATCCACACTCGATCCACTCTTGTATAGTATATCCCATATCCATCTTAGTGAATCCAGGTAAGGGTGGATCCGAGGTAAGTCTTGGTGGATCTTGCCTTCTCGTACGTCGCTCATATCAGATCCATCGTCATTCCATACGGGGTGCTGCTCGCCATGGCTAATCCACCACAGGCAACTTGCATCCGTGCCAGCCAACCCAAATCCTCTCTAATCACTTGAAATTATCACTGATTCGGGATAGTGACCCCGCGTCAGGCCCATTCTCTTATTTCTGAAAAAGCACTTCACCACAAAAGTACGGTGAAGCTTCGGTAGTGCCAAAGGCACCACGCTCAGCTCCACGCTTGGTCGGAGGAGTACGAACGAGTCGTTGGGGCGTCGGCGGCAATGGAATCTTGGACGGATCTTCATCTTGAATCATCGGTCGACTCACAGGTTGCTTTCCGGCATTGATGCCAACGGCGCCAAACGCCTTCCGAAGCTTCTTCTTCCATTTCTGGAGAGCAGCTCCGGCTTCATGTGGACTCCAATCCTGGAGCGACATCGTCGATGGGTACGTCTCGTTCTCGAACCCCAGCGACAACAGTAGCGAAACTGAATCCTCGGCAACTTGGCTAGTCGAAACCGAGTTGACTGGGTATTGAAGTTCCTGCGCAAGCGCAGGCCAGTCGGCTTTTTTCTTGGGGATGGGCTTGAACAGCTGCATCCACTCATCATTCTGCATCAGCGCTTGTACGCGGTCGAAAACGCGCTTGTCGGCTGGTGTATCACCGTTGATAGGTGGGCGAGGTGCTTTCAGCAGTGCTGAATGCTTTGCACTCGCCACCGAAGGCTTAGAACCCTCGGTCCCATCGTCATAATCTTCGTAGGCGGGTTCTGGTCACGCAACATCATCGAGCTCGTCGGCGAGGTTCCTCGAAAGGGACCTGGTCGCCCCGCTCATCCCCGATGATAGCGTGGCCGTCTCCGGCGTCGCTGCGCCTGGCTCTGGAGCCGGCGTCTTGTCTTCGTAATCTTCATAATCGTGGGCGTCAGGACCGATGTCCGCTTCGTCGTCGAAGCTCACTGAAAGCTCGGTGGCGGCTGCAAAGCGCGCAGTCGGGCTTGAACTCTCATCGCGCGCCCCGCCAGACTTGGCAGGCATAACTGGTACCGTCGGTTGTCCTTTCGCCATGTTTCTTGTCTTTTTCTTGTTCTTCTTCTCTTGGTAGCTCGTAAACTGGAAGGCCATACAAACAGCTCACAATGGTCACAATCTGTTCCCGGGTCGCGGCACCAGTTGTGGTGTTGGAAATCCCACGTGAACTCTAGCTACAAACGTAGTTAGGATGTTCCCCACAACAATACGTCTACTAGGATAGTAAACGATCGTTCGGGCGGACCTGAAGACCCCAGTTCTGCCCTTGCACCGGGACAAAATGGACCTTGTAAACTACTTATATAGGCCAACCAGTAAAAATAAGACCACGCTACTAGCACGAGCAAAGCTAGCAGGTGTTTTGAATCCTCGTGGTCCCAACAGCGGAAGGGTACCAGGCACGGGTAAGCCTTTTACGAGATCACCGAGTGTTCAACACTCGGTAGGAAGAATAAAAGGGAGGCAATTCAAGCACTCCTATCGTGCAAATAGGCAACAATAAGCCGTCACGTAAAACCTCCCGATAATAATCGGCCAATACACAAAGTCTCTTGGCCTTGCCGGATGAACCCTCGCTACAGAGTTTCGAGTTCACCGACAGGCATAACACACTCAAACAAGCTTGACCTGACGCTTACCTTGAAGCCGGACGTCGCTCTGTGTGCTTGAGTGGAAATTCTGTTCTGTATTTAAGCTTACCCTTTCGGGTCTATTCCTAATAAGAAGTCCTAATCAAGTATACAAATATCAAGTGAACAATGATCCGTTATGGATCTTCTTGCATGCCAAGCGTCGTCTGCACCGTCGCATGAGCATCTTTAACGGTCCGCGCCCTGTTCCAGACGGTGAAAGTGCCTTCCAAGGGTCGCTGAGTCTTCCGCGAACTCATCCCAACCGCCACTGAGGGTTCGTACCGTAGATGGTCCGCTGAATGCGAATCCGGCCAGTCCATTATTAATAATAAGGACAGCCTGGATTCAGTGACATATGCCCGTATCCAATACTCGTTGAACGTTCGGAGGTGACGCCGTCGAGTCCTTTGCACCTTGGCGTCTCCGTACATCACCTGACCGAGGGTTCGTCGCTTGAACAACTTGGGCGGTGTCACGTCTTTGTCGACGGGTGATAATCCGCAACTACGGAGAAATCACTACACCACACTTGAACATCTTGGGCGGTGTCAAGTCTTTGTCGACGGGTGATAATCCGCAGCTACGGAGAAATCACTGCACCACATGGATCAAGGTGATCTGGGTCCAGAATAGTGTACCCATAATATGGCGGCCACAATGATTACGCCATGGATCTGGTGGATCTGATGCTAATACAGCTGGGATGATGGCCCAAGGAAAAAAAATATGCAGCCGAGCCTGGTAGGGGATTTAGCAGGTAAAAGGCATAGAACGTAGGAATCCAGGCAGGTATAGGCTTAACTAAGAATCAGACTTCAATTTGCACAGTATCATGCAAGTACCTTCCTGCCCTCAAGAATCGGAACTACATTGGCCGTTCGAGCTCGGTGAAGGTTGGGAATTGCGAAACTAGTGTTGGTAGTGATAACTGGATAATACATTGGCCATATCCCACAACCTAGTGAGCTTTTCCTTTACTTGTGCAGATTAACCGGATTTACTACTTGGCCGGGTATACCCAAGAAGATCTCAGCTCTCAAGATCCCGTCACAAGAGGCGGTAAGTACGACGAAAAGGAAAACAAAGGCAAGGGAGCACACCCGCAAGGCAACCCTACGGCCAGATTCCAGATCTAGGCCCTGGGTCCGCCAAGCTCGAATACTTGCTTGGGATTCAGAAACAACTACGGACGCAAAGTGAAGATCTTACCACTACTGCTCCACCCCATCCCCACGTCTCGCCAAGACACTTAAACTTCACCACTTGAACGCTTTGGAAGTTACCGAGAGAGCGAGATCCCGCCCTACCGACGGGTACATAAGATGAGGAAAGCTCAGCAGATCGCGGATCATCGGGGGCCCCCTCCGTTAGTCGGTGTCTGGGCGCTGTTGGTAAGTTGGATCCAGCAATCTCGCAGTTTTTGTGCAATCTTATCAGTATAAACGCCTCGATAAGCGCTTCCTGGGATTGATAATAGCAAGAAAAGACCCAATCGCTGGTGTCGAGCTTGCCCGAATGTATATGCAGCCATCGAATATAATTTAATCTTGTGGCCTTGTGTCAATTCACTTGTCGAAATGAACCCTCTGTTGTATTTGGACAGCTTTAGGGTCGAGCTGAAAAAAATGACAGCAGAAAAAATTCTGTGAAGATCAATGAAGAATCGGCTGTAGGGACTTGTGCTAAGCGCGCGAGGATGACCCTCTAATCCGGTATTTACTTTAAGCCTAATGATAAAACCTATGAGCGCTAGGTCGCAGAGAGAAACCTGGACATGCTCAATTCCAACGATGACGTTGTAATATCGTACTATCTACGAGAACACAGGACTGTGGTACTATTTTACGTGCCTACCGGAAAAGAGGGCAGCATGGTAGCGGTATTTTAACAGGTTCGACACATAACTGCTCAAATTCCGTACGAGAAGTAAAACAAACTTCCCTTATGAAGAATGCATGAATACGCACTGGAGTTTTGTCATATTGCAATCCATCCACGCAACTACTCATCATCCTGTTCCACACCGGCACGACCAGCAGCTGGGTCAGCATTCGAGCTTGGCCACACGGCCCTGGTTGAAACAGATGCGGGCTATCAGCAGACAACAGTCTTCCCGCCCTGCCGAGTGGGGGCACCAGCTCTCGCGCGGGGTCCGCAAAGGGTATGGCGGTGGCGGCGTCGTTGCTGGTGGTGGCATGCTCAACGGGGCCGCCGGAGGCCGACCTCCCAAGCACCACCAGCAGGCACTCACCCAACGGACAGCTTGCCACCCTCCCTGTCGGGTAAGTCACCACAGCCCCTTGTGGCTCCGTCTGCCTGCTGACACCCCCTTCGCTCTTTCCAACCTTGCCGCCCTCCCTGTCCTTGCTGCCACCCCTCTTGTCGTCGCCGCCACCCTCCTGTCGCCCTTAGCGCTCGTGTCGCTTGTGTCGCCGCCGTCGCCACCACACCTACCTTGAGCTCGCCAGTTTTAAAATAAATGTTCAGTATGTGGCCCTCGATATCTAATCCAAATACTAATAATTGGTTTTGAGGGTTACTTCGATATGGTGTACCATAGGTTTGGTACATGTACGAAAAGGGATGAAAACCACAAATATTAATATCCAGGACCAGACATGTTGCCTATGATCAAGCTGGGCGGCCTGGTGGCCCGCACATTGACGAAGCCCCTGGCACGTGTGGTCAAGTCACGTTCTAAGGTGCATCCACTGCTGAACGCCGTGTGCGGGCGATTGGGCCAGCAACAGCACCGCTTGAGCATGAAGCTGCACATGGGATTCCGAGGTATCTCGAACTATACCATCAAGTCACTGCCAGCGGACCAGGCGGTGGAGCAGGGCGCAGACCTGGTGGGAGAGTTGCTCATCTTCTCGGTGGCGTTGGGTGCTGCATCACTTGAGTACTCGCGCTCGGCCGCTAGTGCCCGCGTCAAAGAGGCCAAACTGAAGGAGCTGCAACTTCAGGAGGAGCGAGAGATGGAGGCCCGTTTTGAGTATTTGGAGGGAAAAGTTGGCTGGATAGAGGACCGTCTATTGGAGCTTACCAAGATCCTAGAGAACGAGATGGGTGCACGGCTGGAGCTCCTTGTGGCAGAAACCAATCGAAAAGATGCGAACCCAAAGCAAGAACAGAAATCTTTTGAATCCTCTAGACTCGCGCGGAGACGACAACAACCTCTGGACCAGAATGTGCATATGGGCGTCGACATTGACGAGAACACGGTGGTGGAAGCTTCCTCATCAGTTGGAAAGCTCTGGAAAAGTACATATGACGCAGTGTCAGAGCTGTTCAAGTAGACTTGTGCGTAACAACGATGATTTCTGCAACTTCTGGGCCGCTCAAGGCCACAATCTTCTTTCAAACTCATCTGGATATTCGTCACACAGTGACCTACTGTACATGTAGTATCTGGTTACATTGCTGCTCTCATGTATGAATTCGCATTGGAGTTAACAAGTTCCATCTACTTTCAGCCTACGAAAAGCTCTTCACTCATTTGAATAGCTGCCATTTTGAGCGCTGTGGCCAAGTTTGCGCGTTCCTTCTCAACTGGATCGGCCTCCGACTGTTTACCGGTATTCAGGTGTGGTACAGTATTGCACGGGCCTAATGACCGGTGGAGCTGTAGACCAAATCGAATGCATCGCAGAACAAGTGTGGGGTGACGAATATCGGTCGACGCAAAGTGGAAAATGTCGAGCCAGTTGGAGGCTGTCATCACCCTGCAGAGTGCAGACGTCGTAGTGTGCCAACACTTGGCAGATCCAACCGTATTAGCCAGGTGAAGCAGTTCTTGTAACGTTGGAAAGCTCTGGAGCTTCGTTAGAAAATCCACCGCATCCAGCTGGGCCATTGGAAGGAGATCTATAAAGTGCTGGACGCTTGATGACTGAAATTTGCTGAGACTGGCAATTACAACCGATCTACCAGTACTCCCCTCTGGGTCTTGAGAGCCTTCAGAATTCGTTCCACGAAGGACATTAGTATGCTCACGTAGTAAAGCTGCAGCTGCCTTGACAAGCTCTCCGTCTGCACAACAGAGTTGAATAATATATTCTCCTTCATCACCATTTTCAGGAGATCGTCCGTCGTCTTGCTGTTCCTTGCTGTCTTCGTTTTGGAAGATGTTGGTGTTCCTCGCACAGCCCTCGATTTTTAGCGTTGAGTATTTATCGCAGCAGTTTAAGCAAATGGATAGCAGGGAGACCGATAGACCTGCCTCGTCGTCCGCCTGAATTGCGGTCACCAACGCCTCTGTTCCGACGTCTTGGTCTTTTAGGGCCTCACGTATAGCTGCATTGCGTTGGGCTAATATCTGCAATGTGAGCAAAATGTTCTTCTGTAGTAAGACGTTTGTTGAGCTCAGGATCGACTGCAAGCTCGCGGCAACGACACCAGATTGCCATGCCACTTCCTCCGTCACCCAATTTAAGAGACTTCGACAGCTTGCAGCTACCGCAGGTTTTGTAGCCCCACTGGACGTTGACAAGAGCATGCCGTAAATTATGATGCAGCCCTGTTCGATCACAGCTCGTAAGATATCACTCGGAGGCGAGTGTCGGATGATCAACTCTAAAGCTGTCGCTGCCATGGCAGCGATGTGAGAGACTGAGTGGTTCAAAAGCCAAGAAATCGAGATCAGGATACCCGACAGACGAACGGCGCTACTCAGAGCGCTCGACGAAGCGTCCTCGAGAGCAAGAAGAGAGCACAGTAAGCACAGGGCGGAGTATTGAATGTTCGAGTTCGAGCTCGCAATTCCGAGCCTACAGATCTGCAACATCGCTGCCGTGTCCTCGAAGGCAGAAGATCGCGCGCCTCTGCCCTTGTTCGCCGCCACTGCAGCCGCTGCAGCTAGCAACTCAATGTAGCATTCATGCTGACCGCCCTGCTGTTTTCTTGGTGTTCTACTAGATTGTGTCTGTTCTAAGGTCGATTTAAGATACATGCCAGTGATACTGGGAGCACTTTGGTCGTCACCAAGCAGCCACGTAACGTAGTGTTGCAAGGCTGCCGATCTACAGATGTGCGTCGTCATGGGCCCGCTTAAGGGATGTGCTTTCAGCGAGAGCAAACTGTGCAGTCCCATCGCTGCAGCTCGAGCGATTGCAGGCATCCATTCGACAGTCGTGGATAAGGATAACAGCAGGTCCACCACCTCCATGATAGAGCCCATCACCTTCGGGGTGTCAACATGAAGATCGTTGCCGCCGCCGGCAACGATCTTGCCGCTTTCGGTCTCGGCCGTCAATCTCCTCTGGTCTGTATCATAATAGGATGTCAACGTCACTCGAAGACTTGTGGTCAGAATTTGTACTAGTCGGGGTGCGACCAGATTGGCCTCGAACTTCGAGTCGAAGACTCTCCGGGAGAGCGAGTCGGACCGAATGTCTTCCCTTTCGAGTCGCGTGCGACAGTCCACGACCTTCTCATGTAAATAATTTCGCCACTGCGATTGCCACACGCGTTGAAAGAAGCGGTCGCTTGATCTTGACGATCCCTTTGCTACACGCTCCAACGCCGCCACGAGAGCGAGCACGAGCGATTTGGATGCAAAGAACAGCATACCCAGGCGTCGCCAGCACTTGTCGTCCAGAGCCAGCAGCTCTATTGAAATGTGTTCAGGATCGGTTGTAGCCCACAGTTGTAGTAGCGCCAGCTCTAGATGAGCATCGTCGTTTCCATTCCGCAGCAGGAGTGCTTGGAGTGGTGGCATCTGTGCCAGACAAAATTGTAGTTTATAGAATGAAGTGTGCGAGGAATCCTCGTTTAATTTTGAATCCTCGCCGAGGATTTCCCGAGACCAAAATTAAACGAAACACCTTCAAAATATGATGTAACTCTCAATTCGCATCATTTTAAGATATGAATTTGACAGAGGTACGCTGGAACGATGCCCGAAGAGAAAAACGTCAAATATTAAAATAGGTCACTGTTACAAAAACCCTTTCGTCCGAAGCTGAAATGACAGTTTCTTATCCTCCTTCGGACAAGCGAAGCAGTTTTACTAGTTCAGGTTCGTTCTGTAGCCCAGAAACCTTTCTAAAACCTTTCTAGGCTACACAACTATGACGGAGTCACACAGCATCTTGCGCTAGAGGAAGTTGGCTTCCGAGAGTTTACAAACTCTCAGCGAACGGCAGTTCACAGGTCCCTTTTGCCTAAAGGGAGCGTAGTGACCAATTTAAAGTAGGTTGTAAACTGAGTATATTTATAGATAGGCTCAGCTCGAGTTAAATAAACAAACTATATATCACCTATAGAAAAGCAATGTCATCAGCCAATGGTTGGCCTCGGACGACTCTGGTACAGTGTACCAAATATCCCGAATTATGACGTGTCACAGTTCATGTAACTAGGGGTACACTTAAGACTACGTACCCCGTTACATCCTCCCCCACTTAGGTTTGGTTTACCGACCAATCAGAATGAAGAACTGTACGTCACAAACTTTCGTTCTCAAAGTCGAAATACATCGATTTGGCTGCGCGAGCGCGGCAGAGGTTCACTTCACAGCTAGAGCCTCGAGCAGCAGTCTGTGCGCTCTTCTTCTTGGTCTCCACATCGACCGTTATCATGCCCCGCGGCACTGCGAAGAGCGGTGCGAAGACACGCTCCAGGGCTGCTGCCGGAAAGACGCAAGCCAAGAGCGCTAAGCCTCACGGCAAAGGATCTGCACTCCAGGAGCTACTAAGGTGGCCTCGAAGGCAATCGGCTTAGCTGGTGACGAGGTTGGGTGCAAGCGTGCGAGCAAACGCCGCAGTCCGTCACCCCCCCCCCCAGATGTGCGTCGTCATGGGCCCGCTTAAAGGATTGTGCTTTCAGCGAGATCAAACTATGCAGTCCCATCGCTGCAGCTCGAGCGATTGTGTGGTGAAGTGCTTTCTCAGAAATAAGAGAATGGACCTAACATGGTCTCACTATCCCGAATCAGTGACAATTTCAAGTGATTAGAGAGGATTTGGGTTGGTGGCACGGATGCAAGTTGCCTGTGGTGGATTAGCCCATGACGAGCGGCACCCCGTATGGAATGACGATGGATCTAGTATGAGCGATGTACGGGAAGACAAGATCCACCAAGACTTATCTCGGATCCACCCTTACCTGGATTCACTTAGATGGATATGGGATACACTATGTACCAGGGGATCGAGTGGGGATCCTATGAAGGAATGGTGGTAGGTGTCATCCGAAGGTGGATCTAATAGCCACGACTAACGAGGAGTCAAGATCCACCGCGAGGTACCCCGGATTCCATACCTCCGAGTTCGGATCCATGGAGGAAGGATCCCGCCTTGAGGGACCTGGATCCAGGGTATAGGAATGATGGATCAGTGGATCTCGAACTTTCGTGGGACCAAGGAGATCACAGAAGGTTGCAAGATGATGTTGGATGATTGGAGAGCTCGGATCCACGGCGAGTGTACAATTACAGCGAGGTGGATCCAAGCGACCTAGATCCGGATGAGTGTACCCATAACAGGGTGACCATGATGATTACGTCATGGATCCGGTGGATCTGAAGATAACACAGCTGGGATGATGGGTCAAGGGAAGAAGGGACATGCAGCCGAGCCTGGTAAGGAATCTAGCAGATGAAAGACATAGAAGGTAGAAATCCAGGCAGGTATAGGCTTAAATATCAATACAGAACCCAATTTGCACAGTATCACGCAAGTGCCTTCCTGCCCTCAAGAACCGGAACTACATTGGCCGTACGAGCTAGGAGAAGGTTGGGAATTGCGAATCTAGTGTTGGTAGTGATAACTGGATATTACATTGGCCAGATCCTACAACCTAGTGAGCTTTTCCTTTACTTGTGCAGATCCGACAGGTTAACCGAATTTACTACTTGGTCGGTTACACCCTAGAGGTTCTCAACTCTCAAGATCCCGTCACAGGAGGCGGCAAGTACGACGCAAAGGAACTACAAAGGCAAGGGAACACACCCGCAAGGCAACCCTACGGCCAGATCCACGATCTAGGCCTCGGATCCATAAGCTCGAGTATTCGCTTAGGATTCGGAACAACCCGCGGACGCAGAGTGAAGATTTTCCACTGCTGCTCCACCCCATCCCCACGTCTCGCCAAGACACTCAAGCTTCACCACTTGAACTCTTCGGAAGTTACCGAGAGAGCAAGATCCCGCCCTACCGACGGGTACACAAGGTGAGGAAAGTTCAGCAGAACACGGATCATCGGGGGACCCCTCCGTTAGTCGGTGTCTGGGCGCAGTTGGTAAGTTGGATCTGGCAATCTCGCAGATTTTGCTGATCCCGCTACACCACAATGGTGCGCGTGCCCGGATCTTTTGGTGACTAGGGATTTCACCGTGAGTCAAGAAGATGCTTAAGTGAAGATTGGTCCAGGGGAAGAGGCGTCGTCGGAAGTCGGATCAACGAAGACGCTGCTGAATGAAACAAGATCCGCGGATCGATGGAGTTCTGGGAGGAACTCTGTCGACGGAAGAGAGGTGGATCCGGATACGGATCTAGAAGAAAAACCTCTCTATCCTCCCCAGGTACCCTCGGGGACCCCTGCGGATCTTGACGCAAGTCAAGATCCGCTAACAAAACAAGGAAAAGTGAAGGCGAAACGGTATGCATTTGCAGATTCACCGGTTAAGCCAACACTGTACCTAAATCCAACCCCGCTAGTCGAAGAAACGAGAAAGAAGACGAAAACGAGTAAGACTACGCGGAAGAAGATGCAAGCTCCAGAGTCGGAAGAAGACCAAGCTGGATCCAGGTCAAGCTGGTCAGACAAGGATCTCGAGTTTGTGTATCGCCACCAAGCTTTATGCGACTTCCTGCATCAAGATCCTGTCATGCAGATCCTGAATCCACTACAGATCGACGATCCAAGGGAACCGGTAAGAGCACCAACGAAAACTGCATGTCGTGACATGGTCTGTATAGCTAACAAAACTAATGAACCCTTTCTGAATTCATTTATGTTTCCTCTGCCGACGTTGTCTGCATTCAGCTTCTATCTATTTACAGAAGCTGCTATCGCGCCCTGGAGACACAGCATTATGGTTTGTCCGCGCTACACAAAGTCTTCGCAGCAGACCCGGCCTGCGCGCTGTCTGTACCCGGTACAGATGTCTTCGCGAATAG